ATTCCTCTTCCTTGTCCTGCATGTTGGCGCCCCCGTCCGCGTCCTTTCCCTCTGCCTTTGCGCCTTTCTTGTGGTGGCCGCCCTTGCCCTTGGGGTGCGTAGTCTTGCGCTGCTTGCTGGAACGTTCCGCATCCGCCATGCTGCTCGCCACCTCCTCGACGTCCTTCTCGTTTGGCACGCGCCAAGTCATCCTGGAAGAGGCCGATGTCTAGCGAGATCTCGTGCTCTTCGGTGGGGACGTGATTCGCGCAAACGTGGTCCTGGAAGCTTGAGAGATGTGCAAACGGATGCAGATGTGGACAGCGAAGACAGACTGGGTTCTCGATCGTTGTCAGCGGGTAATGAATCCTGGTGTCGTCGGCAATGCAGCGCTTGTGTTTGAGAGATCGCAACAGATGGTCTTCGGCTTGGGCTCGATCAAGAAACGTGGTACGACAGAGCGGACACTGATCGAAGCCCATGCGCCCCTCCTTTTGTCGCGGTCTGATGGGTACAGAGCGCTGTCCATGATGAAGAAAAACTCGGCCGCAGACTTGTCCCGCGTCCGTTAACAGGTCACACTTGTAGTAACCCAGTTCGTCTCCTGCTCGTTGGTCTTGCTCGTGTGGTTGAGGCTCGAAACCAGGTGGTGGAATCGCTACTGCTGATGCCCTGGCTCTGAGCTCTGCCACGTCGATCTTGATGAAAGCCGCTGCATCTTCTGCGTCGTGATATAGTTGAGTGATGCTCCCGTCCCATGCGTAGCTGAACCCCTCGGCGCTGTCAAACTCGAATGGGGAAGAAGTCGTTGTAGTACTGGTTCGCCATGGGGTTCGCGTCCGCGATGAAGTGGCCATTGTCGTCTAGCTCTCCGATGTGCTCACGATTGTAGTCGTTCTCGAACTTGATGGAGCCGAAGAGTGCCGTGAGCCACTGATCGTAATCTGGCGGGTACTTCACAGAGGCCTGTATCATCCGCAGCCTCCTCACTCGCAGCTCGATGTACATCGGGGGGATGTGGCAGTGCTTGAACACTTCGCTGCTGGCCGTGGTGCGGTAGGTGTCCGCTTCGTCGATGTTGGTAGCTTTGCCTTGCACGAGTACGCGCATGTAGGTGGTAATGACGGCGTCGAGGCGCTTGTATTCGGTGCCCTTGAGGAGGTAGGATTACATGCCGCTGGCTGCGGCACCGATCACCCTGTTAATGAAGATGATGCGTTTGAGGCGCCACGGTACTTTGCGATGCCAGAACTTGCCCATGATGTGCCAGGCTCGCTTGATGCTCTGGATGCGCATGTCAATCTCGATGGTGTTGCTGCCTGCGTGGTGGAAGTGGCCGCCCAGGTACTTGAGGGTGTGAAGGACTCGCCCTTGGACTTGATCTGCGAGGGCTCGGTTCTCCCTCCGCGTGCGAAGGCCTCCAACGATCTCCGCATTGTCCCTGTTCTGGTGGAACCCGCACTCGGCAAGGCGCTGATCGAGGATGGCGTTGCTGTTGCCGAGGGCCGAGGCGGCGTCCCGCGCAGCGCCCGATGGGACAAGATGCAGCTTGAAGATGTCGTCGACGTACAGGTAGACGGACAGGTCGAGCAGGGCGTGCGTAATGGGTGACACGGCCGCGAAGGGGGCGGTGTCCTGCGGGGTCGCCTCGAGCCATTGTCCCACTGGTTGTTCGTAAACGAAGTTTAAGGATGTCGGTCCTGTGCTGCAACCTGGCATGACCCCCGATCCGATGTAGAAGTCGCCTGTGGCGTCGAACCCGTCGATCTGGACGCTGGCGCACTGGTAGCGCTGGTGAAATAGACGTTGTTCTGTTTCGCTGAGGGCGGTCGGGATGGTGTTGATGGCCTTGTCGATCTTTGCGCTGGGGAAGGCGTTGGTGGCGCCCTTGCTGCCGACGATGAAGTCTGCCCTGACCCGCTGCAGGCGGTAGGCGACGACGCGGGAGGCTGCCATGGGGACTTCGCGACGCCGATGAGGCCAGCAGCCGTGAGCATGAGGTGGAGGTGACCGCGGCTTGGACTTGCACTGAAGCTGTCTGTAGAAGCAGCGCCAGAAGGGGCATAGCATGTGGAGCATGCGCAAGCCGAGGACCTTGGGCTTGCCGCTCTTCTTGTCGAGGGTGAAGCTCTGGCTGTGGTGGGCGTTGAGTGGGGCGAAGCCGACGCGGCACACGTGGTTGAGGACTGACTCGAAGCTCTCCTGCGCGAGGGGTGCCTCAGCGAGCTCGTCATCGTAGCCCACGCCAGTCGTCTTCGACTTCTGCTTGGTGATGTTGTTGGACTGGGGGGTCATCTGGAAGATCTCGGCGGGCAGTGACCAGTCTGGCACGGAGGCGCGCTTCTTGAAGTACTTGAGCCGCCTGGCGACGCCGTAGAGTGCTCGCATGATGCCGTCCTTGGCGTCCTCGTATTCCTGGCGAACTTGTAGGTTGTGCTCGGTGGTGCGCTCGTAGGTGGTATATTTCAAGATGCGCTTCTCCTCCTCGAGGTCGATCTGGTAAGCTCTGAACCCTCCGTGCTGGCCGTCTTGTGCAATGTGATCTGCCCACTCCTGCAAGCTGGGGCGTGCTCTGGTCGCGCGGCTGTAGTTGCGGTTGCGCTTGCCGTAGTTGGTGCCGGCCAGGAGTCGAGACAGTTGGTGTACTTCAGCGTGTTTTAGTCGTTGCCAAGCCTCGTAGATGCGCTCCTCTAAGTGTTGTCTTCGTTCGGCTTCGTGCTGGCGCTTCTGCTTCTTGAGGGCACGTGAGAAGACCTCGATCTGGTACTCGATCTCGTAGTTGGGGTCGGTCCCGATGTACTCCTCTCTGAGCTTGGCGCGCTCCTGAAGTAGCCGCAAACGTTCCTCCATGAGCTGGTAGTACTGGTCGGGCTTGGACTTCTGGCGCTCGAAGAAGGGCTTGACTGCCTCCTTCATGATGTTCACGATGAGCTCCCAGTGTTCGTCCGCTGTGTTGTCCCCTGCCAACTCCTTCAGCTTGTCCTGGTGCTTGCCGAAATTGAACTGCAGCGCGTCATTGAACTCCTTGCGGTACTTGCCCGTCTGCAGAGCCAGGGCCATCTTGTCGTTGTCCCAGGCGGTCCTCTTTAGATCTGTGAACACATTCGGGATGATGACGTTGGCGGCTGCAATCAGTGGGACATGGTCGCGCGGCACGTTGTCATTGATGAATTGAAGTGCCTTGGCCGCTCGCCACCAGACTCTGCAAGAAGTAATGTGGGTACATCGTCCTTGAGGCACTGCAATGTAGTCGGGGCGTGTGGCCTGTCCTTGGGCTCCGAAGTACGTGGGCCCCGCGTTCCAGAAGGTTTTCAGGATGCACATGCCGTGCACGTCGAGCATGTTGTGGAAGGCAGCGGCTGCCTCTCCTGGTGCTCCTGTAGGGCCTGCGTCGCCCATCACGTTGCTGGGCGTGGCAGGAAGCAATCCGTCCTGGCCGTAGTGGTCGTTCAGGTCGATGCCGATGATCGGCGTGCTCCTGGTGGGCGTCTCGTTCAGGGTCTTGTTGATCCACTTGAGCGTCTCGTTGACCGTCTTGACCCAGGCGTTGTGGTGCTTGGCGAGCCCTGACCGTGGGGGTAGGTACGCAACAGTGAAGGTCATGTCGAGTTCTCCTCGACGAAGGCGAACTGCTCCTGCGCGTCCTTGAATGCTCGGCGGCGGGCTGGGGAGCTCAGTCACGCACTTGATGCGGTAGCAGTTGCTGATCATGATGGCCACGCCCGCGTGATTGTTGGTGAGAGGGCCTCTGCCGTAGCCCCACGTGAAGATGCGGTGCTTGTAGGTCTGGAGCTGGTCGACGGGGCTGGTGGGGTCGTGCTGCCTCCAACGAGTGGCTGGTAACATGACGACGTCGACTGCGCTGAACTGTCTCGAAATCTGCATGCTTCTTAATGGCGCGACCATGCTGAGCGGGTTGTACACACCCCACCGCAAGAATGTCATCCAGAAGATCGCAAGAGAAGAAGTATGGATGGCCAGCCGCGCTGGCATGACATGAAGGGTGTCCTGAGGGCGGAAGCTGCTCTGCGTGGGTTGCCTGCTGGGCCGCGAAGAATGGGGCTGGAACAGGAAACGGCGGCTGAGAAGGCAATGGAGGAAAAGGAGGACGAGGGATGGGAGGCTTTTGACTACAGCCTATCGCGTTGCAGCTTCATGCGTTGGTGGCCCAAGCTGGGCTGGAAGCGACTTAACAGCCGACCCTGGGGCAGGCGTGGGAAACCGGGGCTGGTAAAGCACCCTTGGTAACGGCTGAAAAGAGTGGTGCTTGGCTTAGGGGAATATGGGAGATCAGTTGAAGAGAGAGGGAAGGAGGAGCCTGATGAACATGGTATATGAGGGGATCGCATGACGGTACACGGGGAAGACGGATAGAAGAATGAAATGGATGGAAGAGAAAACAGGGAAGAAGGATATAGATTATGAAGAGGGAGAAGAGGGCGGGTAAAAGAAGTGAGGAAGGAAGGGGCGGAGGGAGGGGGGCGGAGATGAGGGGCAGAGGGGAGGGGAGGGGAGAGGAGAAGAGACCAAAGCAGAAATGTTGGCGAAGAGCGGAAAAAAAACAAAGACAACGAAATCACACCTAATCATTGTATCATGTCACAAGAACGACGTAAGACAACCACAAGACGTCCCGGGACTGACGAATACGCTCCGACGCAGCCCGCGGCAACTTCCTCTTTTGCTCCCAAAGTTCCTCCTCCTCCTCCTCCTCCTCCTCCTCCTCCTCCTCCTCCTCCTCCTCCTCCTCCTCATGCAGCAGCGTGGCCCCCCACACACAGCTGCCTCCACGCTGTCCCAACATGAACCCTGAAGGACTAAGATGCGGTTCTACTTGGACCGTCATTGACACACTTTGCCGCACGACATCCTGAGCGAACCCCGACTGCACCCAGATCGGCGGCACAAGCCGCAAGCCCTCCTCAAGAAGGCCGCACGCTGGCGTGTGCCCCTTCCTCTTGGGGGAAGTCCCGAGGCAACCGCAGAAGCAGAGGCGTAGCGCGGCCGCACTTGCGAGAGGCCTGCGAGTCCGACGCCGCCTCGCCCTCGTCGGTGCTGGAGGCACTGCCGTTGGCGAGTGCCTGCGAGTCCAGGGGCGCACAGAGAGGCAGCACAGAAGCAGGGGGAGATCTGGAAGAGCAAGGCTACGACAACGAGGCGAGAGGCGGAGATGGGCGGAGGTACAGGTGGAAGAGCGGGAGGGAGGCGGGAAGGTGGGAGGGTGGGAAGGTGGGGAGGCGTGAGCTAGGAGTTGGAGGTCCAGGTGCAGGGCTGAGGTGAATCCCGCCAGCCCTTTCGGGCGTAGGTGGTTTAGAGCATTTCCTCTTACCACCCCTTCTTAACCTTCGGGGAGGGGGTTACCCCTTCCCCTCCACCTACCCCCCCGCCTGTCTGGACCTAGAGGATCGCGGGTCGTTAGAGCGCCTAAGATGGCCCAGGATGGCTTCAACAGGGCCTCAGAGATCGCGAGACAGTGGCCTCTAAGACGAGTCAAGATGGCCAAACATTACTCAGTATTGCTTCCAAGACGCTCCCAAAGGTTCCAAGAGCGCTCCAAGGTGGCTCCAAGTGGCCACGGAGCCTCCCAAGACTCTCCCGAGAGGCCAAAGTCATCCCAAAGCCTTAGGAAACCAAATGATTCTTGCACTATCGCCTTTCAAATTCTGGTGGATTTTGACAGCCGCAAGATGGCTCCGAGGGGGCCCAAGAGAGCCCCAAGAGGGGCCCAAGACGGTCCCAAGGCGGCCCCAAGAGCGCCCAAGAGCGCCACAAGAGCACCTCAAGAGTGACCCAAGAGGCGAGCTTACGGGCTCCAGAGGGCGAGTATAATCAGAGACCCCCCCTTATTTCCCAACCATCCTGTGGTGTTGGGTCCTCGTTTTGAAGAGACAGCGCCCCGCGTTCACTCCTCCCGCTGCCCCCTCCCTCCTGCCATCATCATCATCATCATCATCATCATCATCATCATCATCATCATCATCATCATCATCATCATCATCATCATCATCATCATCATCATCATCATCATCATCATCATCATCATCATCATCATCATCATCATCATCATCATCATCATCATCATCATCATCATCATCATCATCATCATCATCATCATCATCATCATCATCATCATCATCATCATCATCATCATCATCATCATCATCATCATCATCATCATCATCATCATCATCATCATCATCATCATCATCATCATCAGCATCATCATCACATCATGGCGATCATAGGGAGCTCCAGCGAAGGCCCCAGTGGCTGCGCTCCCATGCGCCCACCGCACAGATTTCGGCACACCCCTCACACGTTTCGTGGCCCCATAGGGAGCTCCAGCGAAGGCCCCAGTGGCTGCGCTCCCATGCGCCCACCGCACCCATTTCGGCACACCCCTCACACGTTTCGTGGCCCCATAGGGAGCTCCAGCGAAGGCCCCAGTGGCTGCGCTCCATGTTTCATACGTTTCGGGCCCCATAGGGAGCTCCAGCGAAGGCCCCAGTGGCTGCGCTCCCATGCGCCCACCGCACAGATTTCGGCACACCCCTCACACGTTGCGTGGCAGTTTCGCCCCATAGGGAGCTCCAGCGAAGGCCCCAGTGGCTGCGCTCCCATGCGCCCACCGCACCCATTTCGGCACACCCCTCACACGTTTCGTGGCCCCATAGGGAGCTCCAGCGAAGGCCCCAGTGGCTGCGCTCCCATGCGCCCACCGCACCCATTTCGGCACACCCCTCACACGTTTCGTGGCCCCATAGGGAGCTCCAGCGAAGGCCCCAGTGGCTGCGCTCCATGCGCCCCCGCACAGATTTCGGCACACCCCTCACACGTTTCGTGGCCCCATAGGGAGCTCCAGCGAAGGCCCCAGTGGCTGCGCTCATGCGCCCACCGCATTTCGGCACACCCCTCACGTTTCGTGGCCCATAGGGAGCTCCATGGCATGCGCCCACGCACCCATTTCGGCACACCCCTCACACGTTTCGTATAGGGAGCTCCAGCGAAGGCCCCAGTGGCTGCGCTCCCATGCGCCCACCGCACCCATTTCGGCACACCCCTCACACGTCACAAGTTTCGTGGCCCCATAGGGAGCTCCAGCGAAGGCCCCAGTGGCTGCGCTCCCATGCGCCCACCGCACCCATTTCGGCACACCCATCAGACGTTTCGTTGTCCCATGGGGAGCTCCAGCGAAGGCCCCACTGGCTGCGCTCCCATGCGCCCACCGCACCCATTTGGGCACACCCCTCACACGCTTCGTGGCCCCATAGGGAGCTCCAGCGAAGGCCCCAGTGGCTGCGCTCCCATGCGCCCACCGCACTGATTTCGGCACACCCCTCATACGGTTCGTGGCCCCATAGGGAGCGCCATCGAAGAAGATACTCACAATTGCGGTACTCGCAACTGCATCTGGTTGGGTCCTTCGCCAGGATAGTTTATCGATATGGCCCCAGGAGGCCCCTGGGGCCCCCAAGAGAGCCCCAACAGGATCCCAAGAGGGCACCAAGAAGCTCGAAGATGGCCTAGGTAAGCAACCGAGAATCTCCCGTATCGAACGTTCTTCGAGGGTGTTCATGGTTGACGTCTGGGCCTGCTCAGGTAGATCCCGCTCCTTTGTTTGACGGCTGCCCCCCCCCATGTTTCTTCCACGGCGTGCTCCCACACTTCCCTGATCAGAACGTGCAGCACCCAGGCCCTCCTCGTGGGATACTTGGGTCGAGCCCCTTGCTCGAAGCATATATGGGTGAACGTGATGCCGGGGTGCATCATACTTGCAATCCCACCAGCCCTCTGGGCGCAGGTGGTCTAGGGCGTTTCCCTTTCCAACCTCCTGCCTTTCCCTGCTCGGGGGGTCTACCTCCCCCCCCCCCTCCCTGCGTTTGGACGGGGGGGGACGGACCCATAGCAGCGTCCAAGATGGCCCAAGATGGCTCCAACAGGGCCTCCGAGAGCGCAAAATGGCCTCCAAGATGGTCCAAGATAGCGGTAGACGGGTCAAGATAGCCTCCGACACGCGTCCAAGAGGCCTCAAGACGGCCCCAAGACGGTTTCAAGTGCCCTCCGAAGCCTCCAAAGACCCCCCCAAGAGGCCCAAATCCTTCAAACACCTATGGAAAATCAATGTGTTTTGCCTTCTCGCTTTTTCGTTTCCGAAGGGCTCTCGAGGCCTCAACATGGCCCCAAGATGGCCCAAGACAGCCCCAAGAGGGGCCCAAGGGAGCCCCAAGACGGCCCCAAGAGCGCCCAAGAGCGCTCCAAGAGCGGGCCAAGAGGGTCCCAAGACGGCATTCTTGAGCCTCCGATGGGGGGGGGCAAGAATTGGGCCACCCCTTTTCTTTAGCCGTAAGGACCAAGACGGCCCCGAGAGGCCTCCCAGAACCCCGCCAAAGAGCCCCAAGAGGGCTCCAAAAACCTCCACAAGAGCCCCAAGAGGGGCCCCAGACGCCCAAAAAGAGCCCCAAGAAGCCCCAAGAAGGCCCTGAGAGGACCTCAAGAGAGCCCGAAGAAAGAGCCCCAGGAGGCCCCAAAAGGGGCCCAAGAGAATCCCAAGCGGGCCCCAAGATACCTCCAAGATTCGGAACGCACGCGAGTTTAAGATACAAATCAGTGCAACAGCCATTACGAGTCATCGAAATACCCCTCACCTCTCATCGAAGCGACATCGTAACTTGCACCGGCTTCCATCTTAAACTTCAAAGCGGGAAGCTATGTGTGATGCTTGTGTTCTCGAAGACGGCTGCGCGACTGCATGCGTTCTGCCGCCCCTGATTCACCAATTCCCCTGCTGATCGTTTCTGGATGGGTTGGTGGGGATACGTTTTTTTCTTTATTTTTATCTGCGGCCCGCAAGGAAGAGCCCAGAGGGCGCGTCAATCGGGCTGACTGGGGCACAGAGCCAGAGGATTTGCGCACCCAGCTGTCACTGTCGACAGCCGACCGCACATGCAAGCACGCAGAACAAATTAGGGAAAACGGGCCGACGAAGGCACCAAACCGAAGAGATGCAAAGCGGCCGCTGTCGAGAGCCGGCCGCACGAGGCGACGCACGCGGCGCCAGCGCCCGAAAGGCGGGCGATGAGCAGGGCGACAGGAAGAAGGGGAGAGGAGGGGAAATAAAGATGCCTCACTCACGGAGCACCAAGTGCTCGAAGGCGGGCCGTCACTGAACCAATCGACGGTGGACAAGTCGTGAATCCCGAGTGGCAACCACCACCACCAAAGACAGGGATGAACGTCGCGTGGGGGCCACGTCACAACCACCAGTGTTCAGAGCCCCACCAGGGGGAAACTGCGGGCAGGAGTGCACCACCTGATCATCGCAGAAGGGCGAGACGTCGATGGCGTCCGCGAGCGTGCACTTCTACCAGAGGAAAAAGCAGACGTCGCCGGCAACGCCGGGAACCGGGAAACGCCTGCCAAGAAGAGGCTCGGACCTGCCAAAGGATGCACCACTTGCACAGGTAGCCGTCCTCCAGGGCGACGGCGCCACGTAGCGGAACGGGCACGTCGTGGAAAGGCTGGGCCTGCCAGAGGATGAACCACTTGTGCAGGAGTGCGCCTTACCTGAACCACCCGCAGGTGGCGGTCGAGGGGCCGGTCGGCGCTTGTCAAGTGGGGGGAACAGCCACTGGGCAAGAGGACCAGCCTTCAGAAGGCGTCGAGTGGAACGCATGGGGTGGGCCTTGGGCCGGACCCCCCCCCATCCCAGGCGAGCACTGCATCTATACGCAGTGCTGAGAAAGAAACACCTCGTCCCCAGCAAGTGACCCAAAGGTATTATAGGCCGGAGCCACACTGCGGTGAAACGACTCCTTGTCGAGCAGGGGCCACCTCGACGGCAGTGACCCGTGGAGGCAACTGCCGATGTGAAGCGCGCCTTGTGAACGTCGTACGTCGTCGGCCCGCCACAGCAGTCGTCGAGGGCGTCAGGAGGGGAGGTGGGGGGGCGCAGCCGATAGCCGCAGAACACTAGAATACATGGGAGAGGAGGAGCCAGGTGGTAACACCGTCAGCCGAGGACCCAACACGCGAAGTCGGCACGTCGTCGGCGAGTGGCGCCGCCTGGCGGGGGGGAAACGCC